AACTTGCATACTAAGATGTAATTTTAAAACTACTTCTGGGGTGTGATTTCAAAGAGATTTTCGAGGAATCTATCTGTCATTCAAACAACTATTGCAGGACTCTCTTGAATAAGAGATTTTTATTCTCTGTAATCATCTGAAATGCACTTCAATGGCAGAAGCAAAGCTTATAAAGCAACAACAACAAATAATAATAATACCTATATAGCAAGGGAAAGGACACCTTAGATTTTAAGTGCAATATTCATGCTTCAGTTGTGAGAGTAATGCTTAACAAATGGAATTTTGACAGCTCCTAAATCCCAAATTCCCCTGATCTAAATGGACCAGAAGCCTCTTTCTCTTTCCTTATTAAAGTAGCTAATTGCGTTTTGTCTCATTCCTTCAGTGGCTCCTCTGTGGACGCTGCATTTAAACAAATGACCCACGTTCTCCCAGCAAATGGGCTACTATGATTTATTCATAGGCACCGGCTGCATTTAGCCAACAACCTTCACTGGCTGACCAATTAATCCACACAACTGGGAGTTAAGTCCTGACAAAAAGAAGAACAAAAGTGTTGTTTGGAAGTAGGCAGCTAACAGACTTCTAACTTCCAACAACATGATCAGAAATCAAAGGGTAATACCTCACTATCTTCATCTTGCTAACAATGGTGTAAACGAATTTAACACGAGCACCCTCTTTTTTAATAATGCATGGTATAGACAGAGTTCACCTTTTACATCAAAAGGCCAGCTTGCTTCATTAAATGGCTTTACAGATGGTCTTTGTCATGCTGTCAGAGTCTAAAAAGGAGCAATAATACATTAAGTTATGCAAGTTTAAGTGTTTTAGGAATGGTTTCTGGGCTTCTCCTAAGTTTCCTTCATTGTCGTAGACCTCATTCAGCACAGTTTCGAATATCTCAATATATCTGTTCATTATTCATCTTTTAATTAAGTATTTTGGGCTGGCCTTCATGGCACAGATTCAACAATGTACTGGAAATATTCCCTCATATTTTGCTCCATATTGACATGACAGCATCACACAGTTGCTGCAGATTTGTCGGCTGCGCATCCATAAGGTGAATCTCCCGTTCCACCATATTTCAAAACTGCTCTATTGAATTGAGATCTGGTTACTGTGGAGGCCATTTGAGTACAGTGAACTCATAGTCATGTTCAAGATACCAGTCTGAGATGATTTGCACTTTATGACATTTTTCATTATCCTGCTGGAAGTAGCCATCAGAAGATGGGTACACTGTGGTCATAAAGGTATGGACATGGTCAGCAACAATACTGAGGTAGGCTGTGGCGTTGACACGATGCTCAATTGGTACTAATGGGCCCAAAGTGTGGCAAGAAAATATTCCCCACACCATTACACCACCACCACCAGCCTGAACCGTTGATACAAGGCAGAACGGATCCATGCTTTCATGTTGTTGATGCCAAATTCTGACCCTACCATCCGAATGTTGAAGCAGAAATTGAGACTCAACAGACCAAGCAACATTTTTCCAAGCTTCTATTGTGCAATTTCGGTGAGCCTGTGTGAATTGTAGCCTCAGTTTCCTGTTCTTAGATGACAGGAGTGGCACCCGGTGTGGTCTTCTGCTGCTGTAGCCTGCCACTGTTGCCTTTCTATCAGCTCAAACCAGTCTGGCCATTCTCCTCTGACCTCTGCCATCAACAAGGCATTTGCGCCCACTGTGCTCACTGGATATTTTCTCTTTTTCAAACCATTCTCTGTAAACCCTAGAGATGGTTGTGCAAGAAAAATCCCAGTAGATCAGCAGTTTCTGAAATACTCAGATCAACCCATCTGGCACCAACAACCATGGCACGTTTAAAGTCGCTTCAATCACCTTTCTTCCCCATTCTGATGCTCGGTTTGAATTGCAGCAGATCGTCTTGACCATGTGTACATGCCTAAATGCATTGAGTTGCAGCCATGTGATTGGCTGATAAAAAAATTTGTGTTAACAAGCAGTTGGACTGATGTACCTAATAAAGTGGCCGGTGAGTGTAGTTCATTGCGCTTTTTTCAGCTTCTTTTTTTAATACATAATAATTTTAGTATATCTCTTTTAGTTATTCTGTAGTTCATCCTTTTTATTTTCACTATTATTGTTGCTGTTGGCATTATTACTTTTAATATTATTATTATTTATGAGCCTCTTATATTTTGTTTCTTTAAGCTCACTATTATATGCTGATCGTCATATTTATTTGTTTACATAATTTCAAAATAAAAGAATAAAAAGTTAACAGAAAATAGGAAATGAGTGTTTTAGGTGCTGTTTCTATGTCTAAATGCAGTACTTTTAATTTTACTATGTGTACTGTATAGACACTGCACATCCATAAACGCTAATAAATATCTCGCATCATTTTCTACACTCCAGAGTGTCCCAACTGACTGACCGTATGGCCAGAGAATAGCAAGAAGTCCATTAAAGCGATGAATGGGTTTTATGGAGACTGCTCATTATAGTGCCATTTTTCCTCTGTGGAGAAATCAGCGACAGTGATTTCCTGTGCCTTTTGAAAAAGGGAAAGGTCAGTGGGTTAATATCTAGCTGCATTTATTGGCCTCAAATTCTCATATCTTTCCGTGAAGAACTGACAAGTCTGTCCTATTAATCATTGATTTAATGTCCTCTACATTTCAAGTATCACTGCTGCTTTTTTTTTCAGATGGCAACAGAGTTATCAAAACTCTAAATAAAGAACTGGGAAAGAGCACAATTAAACTACCTCTAAATCAACTAGCCAACAAATAAAAACTACTGGAACGTGACTAACCAATCCTTTATGCCTATACAACTTGCTATAAACTTTAGACATGCATCACATATCATTTCTACTAATAAAGACATGTTATATCTAACATTAAAGACTTCTAATTGTTCAATCATTCTTGCACACTAGTAGAAAAGTCTCAAAATGGTCCATCTCTATTAAACATTCATTCATTCATCATTTTCCTTTGGCTGGGTTCCTTTTTTTGTCAGGGGTCGCCACAGTGGAATGAACCACCAACCTATCCAGCATATGTTTTATGCAGCGGATACCCTTCCAGCCGCAACCCATTTCTAGGAAATACGCACACACACTTATTCACAAACACACTCATTTACTTACACCACAAATCTTAGGACTGTTGGGGAAACCGGAGCACCCGGAGGAAACCCATGCCAACACAGGGAGATTAAGCAAACTCCAACTGATTGGATAAGAGTTGGAACTATTGGAACCTTACTGTAAAGTGTGACGATAATAGTATTTTTACACTTTATATATTACATACTGAAGTTTAGTTTGTTGTTTTCAGAGCAGTGTTAATTTCGTTGACGTAAGATTTTCGCCAGTTTCTACAGACGAAAACTAAACACAAATTAATTGATGATGACGACAATTATAATAAAATGATACTGACATTTTCGTTGAATAATAAAAACGAGACGAGAATGTGATTTGGGGATGAATTTTGGTATATATCCAATCAGAATTAATCTTGGTGTATGATGCGTGACGCACACACGCACATTTGAAAAGTAACTGGTCCACAGCAGACATGGGATACTACATCATTACTTTGCTTATTCAATCAGTGCTATAGCTGAGCACCGTGTCTTGTAACACCAACTACAACAGTTAAGCTTGGTTTAGACTGACACTGCAAGGTGAACTTTAACTATTGTAAGCTCCGTCAAAGATTTATTCCTTAAAACTGTTCAACAAACTGATTAAAAAGTCTAGTAGCTCAGCATGTTAAAATAAAGGGTTTGCTAAATAATTGCACAATCCTGCATTTCCAGATGGCTACTGTTCTATATGCGGATTGATTGCAGTCACATAATTTGACTTATTACTTTTGGTATGAATAAACAATGCATATCTTTTTTTAGTCTTTAATAGAAAAGCTATATTCCAAATTTTTAAAACGAGACTTTTTTATTTAATTTTAAGTTAGAATATTTTTTATAAATAATTGTATACAATATTTTAATTAAATTACACTTAAACTAAAGCAAATATATTCTAGTCAACTAAATCTAGAGTAGATTAAGTCAACTAAAATCTTATCAAATGAAGTCGACTACAACTAGACTTAAACTAGTATGATTAAGAAGACTAAAATAATGAAATTAACATTACACTGACCGAGTAACCGTTTCAAGATCTGTAACATCTCCAAAAAACAGATCATTTGCATTTAAAGAAGCACACTAAAGCAGCACAGGGCTCAACAATAAGGACTGCCTAATGGCCAGGGGCCAGCGTGTGAGGCGCTCGGGACTATAGACAGGATTGTTACTGGCTCGATCTGTGCTGCCTTGTCAAAAAAGTTCAATTTACCTGCAACTATTTGTCAATTGCGTATGAATAATCGAATAAGTCTTAGAATCGAGAAACAGTTTGTGCTTTTTAGCCTTTTAGTGTTATGTTCTCTTTGATTTCGTAAACACCATATTGCTTTTCGGTTCCACTTATCTGATTGGATGTCGTGAGCATATCGTTTTTTTGTAACCTGGTAAAAACCAGTACAGCAAAGTGACAGCAACATCAAATTATGAGGCTAAAATGTCTTGGAAGCAGACATTTACGTGGGTACAACGCGACTATTTGCTCATTTTATATTTATTAACCTTTTTAAAATATTAAAATTCTAGATTCAAACACATTTTTTTAAATAAGATACTTAAAACAAGAAATAGCTATTAACTTTTCCTTTTTTTGTTTTTTGGTGGGGCCAGTGAAAATATTGGCAGGGCAAGTAAAAATCTGAACCACTGGCCCAATTGGGCCAGTAGAAAATTCTTAGCGTTGAACCCTGCAGCATATTTTTTCTTCCACCCCCAAAAGATTGCCACTATAGCAAGAGATAATAACGGCCGGCTGGATGAGGTATTTCGAGCCACATGCTTGTAACACCTTATATAATATCATGAAAAAAACAGATAGCAGTTTCATTATTTACTCAACTGCTCTATAATGTATATTTACCTCCTGGGTCTTTGTCTGGATTGTACTCTAACGCGTTGCTGCAAATGAGATCAATGTCTGCTAGAAAATCCTTGGCGACCATGTACTTGTGTTTGTCGATCTTCATCATGATGGCGGACAAGTCCATAGGCTGTGTGATAACCTCGAGGTAGTCCGACACCTAAAGAACAGACAAAAAATAAATAACTCATTTATAAATGTCTGGGTCATAGTGAGCCTGATTTCAAAACCATTCCTACCACAAAAGTTTGAATACTACTATCAAACCTTTGAGTTCAGCATGATTATTAAAACAAAATCAATATAACCCAGACATAATCTCGACAGGCTTATTGAGCTTCACCTTGTAACAAGCTCAAAATGCTTGAGGAGATCTGGGTGAAAGATGCCTCTCTCTGTATTCACAGACACACTCTTGTACTTGTTTGTTTCTTATATTGATGAACTTTTTAATTGCCATCTTAAATTTACTGATTTAGGTAGCGATCGTGCGTGCAAGCTGTTGCATAATGGCAATCATTTGATTTGTTTGGTCTGAGGGTTGCAAATAAACCACAGGTGCCGCCAATTAGATGGTAATATTGAATGAATGGAGTAAAGACCCTACCGGCATTAACCCTTTATAGGGCACTCATTGAAAAAAACAAAAACAAAAAAAAAACACACAAAAACCTGGAGTGTTACTTGGGATTACTAGGCTGTTTTAAACTTTCATGACCTCAATATATATATATATATATATATTCAATACAGTTGAAGTCAGAATTATTTGTCCCCCTGAATTATTAGGCCCCTGTTTCCCTCAGACACGAGATCACAATCCCTTACTTGGGATTACTAGGCTGTTTCATGATCTCAATATATGCATATATATATATATATATATATATATATATATATATATATATATATATATATACATATATATATATACATATATATATATATACATACATACAGTTGAAGTCAGAATTATTAGGCCCCTG